GAGTCTTACAGTAAGGTCAGCAAATTCTGCACTATAACTGTGCTTCTACAGAAACCAAACATCTACATGTGTTCTATAACTGGATGCTGCTGTGCATCCCTGGATACTTGTCTTTGTATATCTTGTGGAGCATGACGGTGGTTTTCAGGATACTGCCTGTCAAGAAAGAGATTTGTTTTAAGGATCTCGACGCCAAAGTGTCAGTGTTAGACTTCAAAATTACATATCAATCAAACTCTGGTCTCCAGTGTTTGTCTTCATAATGACATCACAGTTCCAGCCAGTCTCATGATTAATCCAAAAAATGCGGGTTTGTCTGTTCACTCGTTTACTGACTCAGGAAGGAATAGGTTTGAGATATGTTCCGCTTTCAGTCTATATGAAGGTAATTAGCTAATATGCTAATGACCGCTAAGCACTAAGCACCGCCGTCCGAAGCGATTAACCCCAATATCGCCCTTCTTCTCTGCCCAAGTCTCTGGCACAGTCCCAGTAAATGAAGGCCGTAATTAAGGGGGATGAAGAAATGTAATTGCACTCCACCCCCCCCGAGACTCTATACATGTGTGTAATTTGCTATTTGACGATAGGCTGTATTGTGACAGTGTGTACACACACACACACACACACACGCACACACACACGCACACACACGCATACACACACACACACACACGCATACACACACACACACGTATGCATTTACCATAATCTGTTCGTGTCACTATATTTGCCACTGGAAGCAATAGTGTTGAGCACTAAACTGCAACTGTAGATGTGATGAATACAAGGTTATGTAAGTGTGTTGAAACGTAGATATGTAGATACCTTGGAGATGAGTATTATAGGGCCTGTGGACGTGTTTGTGTATCTGTCACGGTTGCAAATGTGAGATATGTCTGCACTGCAAGTCTTTCAAGCCAGGCGTCATGCTCGGATCTATGAGATCCTTTATGAATGTTTTTTACCAAACCTAAATTTTTTAAAATCTGAGATTGAATTTTTTTTATATACTCGCGACATGATTCTGATCACTGAGCGCAGCAGCATCTTTGCCACGTTCATAAGCACCTTTTATCTGCGACAGTGACAAGGTCATTAAAACGTGTGAACCCTCTTCCACATCTTCCCATACTTAAAAAACTTTTGTCTTTAGAGATGCTTTTCTCAAGAATACAGAACAAAGGTTCTTTTTCTAACTCTGAAAAAGTTGAGACGCTGACTGCCGCACAGTTCCAAAAACCTCTGGAGACAGAAATAGATGACGCTCGAATTCTGCTTAAGCTCAAGCTACTTAAAACGTGGGTTGCATCATTAACTCCATCTTGCTATGGGCATCTCTGCTGTCAACAACCGCAGCTTTGCCAGTAGTTGAAATCTTCCAACTCGTAATAAAACAGACACAAGCTTTGTCATCCTCCATTTGCAATTGCCTTGTCACACTCTTTAAAATCAACATAATTAGCTGTGGCTTTATTTATTTTTTTCTCTCTTTCTTCCTCTTTGATGTCAGGGGTGGAGGCATCTCTGCAGGCAGGCAAGTGGATGCCCGAAACTGAGCACGAAGCGGGAGAAGGCCCCCAGCGCAGCCGCCTAAACAGATGTAGCTTGGTAAATCACACAAAAACAAACAAATTCTGTATGTGAAAGAGATGAATATCGATTGTCTTGAGCCCTGTGTCCTTGGGAGACAATTGTGTTTTTTACCCCAAGCAGTGGTGCAGGCTCATTGTTCAGCAGCACATATGTCATTATATATACCAGCTTGGACAAAAACAGATGCAGAAAGACTAACAGAAAAAGTACCAATCGGGGAAGGCGTGCTGTTTTGACAATACCTAAAGCAATGCTCGGTGTTATCCAAACAATATACATCAGCAGAAACACACCATCCCCACGTCAGAGCGGAGTGTTTGCAGGATCATCTTGTGGGGATTTAAGATTTGTGAGGATAGAGTGAAATGAACACAGCACAATCCTGGAGGAAAACCTCCTGCAGTCTGCTTTAGAGGAGTTATTTTGAGACAACAACTCCAGATGAAAGCGAAAACAGTGGACAAGAAGGAATTAGGCTTGAAAATCGCTCATTCACCAGTCACCATGAAACTTGAAAGAACTTGTACCTTTTTAGAAAGAGGAATGGGACCAATGCTTTGTCTAGATGGCAGAGGTGACACAGACACTCAAGGCGGTGCTTGCTGCTAAAGGTGCCTCTACTAACGCCAGTTCTGCATATATGCATAGATTATTTTAAATGTATATTTACCCCTCCGTTTAAAAATAAATAAATAAATCTGTGGCCACACAACCTTCTTTTCTCAAAATATCTCTGTCCAAACGAGAATATGAAGACTAGTATATCATTAGGAGGTGTAGTCATACAGTGATGCTAAATGTAGCTTCAAACTTGGACTTGACATTAAATTATAGTTATTCTTCCAGCTTTTCAGCTCAAGGTCTGAGAATTCAAAGTGTAGGTGACGTTTCAATCATGCAGGCTTTGTGCTCCGAACAACACACTGTAATTTCTGCAGCATAAATAATGGTCCAACATCTGACACTAGGTTTGAACACCGCTGTACATTCACTTCCATATCATGCCTCCTCCCAGACACCACCACCACCCGCCTGAACCAAACAAGAATATATCCAGTATGAGATTGTGTCTGAACTGAAATCAGGCCGATAATCCTCTTGTGCAACAGGCATCAGCACATAACAGGAAATTCTCTGATACAACCCTCCAGACTATCGAGGGGCTGTTGTTGTTAGGGAGCTGATCTCACCAGATTATCTGGCCAAATGATCCTGTAGTGTGAGAGGTTTACAGACATAATCTTAACGTAACAGACTGAATCGGATCCTCCTAGATTTGTAATCGTGAATATCAAACATGTTTTTTATTTAGGGTTTGAAATCAGGGATACTGGTGTAATATGAACATAAAATTGATCAAGTGAGCACAAAAGCCAATTAGAATGAGCTGACCAGGAAGTGTCACCAACTGAGTGTTGCATTCTTGCAGCAGGCTTAACATGTGTGAAAGGAAAACTTCTCATACGAGCTCCAGACAATGTCCGTAGAATGTCTGTTGTTCGCATGAGAAAACTGTCAGTTGTAGATTTAAGATGCTCCCATTGTTGTTTTCTTTGTTCGTTTCTTCTGTTATCCCCCTTCTTAATCGAATAAAATGTACAACAAATACCATCGAATCCCAATCAGAAAAAAAGAGAAATCAAAGAGTGATCAAAGAGCCGTCTCACTGGCTCTTGAGAGACAATTTTCAACCCCAAAACTGTGGAGTTCATAGATGCTGTGAATGAAAGTGAATTTCTCTGCTGCTTGAAACAGCAGTGCTTAGTGCTACTGAGAGCTGTGTGATAAAAATGTCTTTGGCTCTCCAGTAAAGAAGTAAACACAAAGTGTCCACACTGACTCTGGGTAATATGAGAGGCTAGATTTAGTGGCATAGAAAAAAAGTCGGAGTTGAACAAAAGAGGACTTTACTCATTCTGCCACTGTTCTCACAAGCACTGAGCTTGTATCCTCATGCCGGCACCCCAGCTATGTTTTGATGGAGGAAGATAACGCACACTAGATCATTTCTTTTCTCAGCCATGATGCACAAGGATGAATTGATTTGATTTTTTTTTTTAAATTTCCATTAATACTTGAATTTCTTCTTTCAAAACATCGTCTTTTGAAGCTCCCACCTCTCTTCGATGGCTGTTTCTTCTTCCTGCTGGGCTCCTTTAAGGCGCCGACCAAAGACAGGCTCACCAAGCTGCTGCGGGAGGGCGGCGGTCAGCTACTGAGCAGACAGCCCAAGCCTGACAGTGACGTGACACAGACCCTGAGTGCCGCGGCCTACCACGCCCTGCCAGGCTCTGACCAGGCCCTGTGCACCCAGTACATCATCTTCGACCCCCAGGGCCCTCACAAGCCGAAAGTGGTCAGACGAGGCAAGGTGTGGTCCGCTCCCTCCACCTGGATTATCAACTGCATCGCAGCCTTCCAGCTCCTCCCTGTGCCGGATCCTCAAGTATTAGTCTAAACACATTTTCACATTTTAATTTTTTTTTACTGTCACTGTTATTCAACAGTGGTCATAATGTGGGTTTTGCATTTTAAATATCTGGTGATTAAGTTGATGTGAGTCAAAACACAAAAATTAAAACAATAATGTAACTAAGTTTATGGTTGCAATTTTTTTTTTCAAGAGCGAGAGTTTGAAATCATAAACCTGTGATTTCAAGATAGACACCTTCCAGGTTAGGGTTAGATTTAGTAAGATGTCGGGTAGTTACCTTTTCTGACTTCTAACAATGATAAAACACTAAATAGATTTTTATGAGTGGAAATGGTTGGGAAACACAAATATAAACCAAATGTATTTTTGTCCAAAGAAAGCTGTAACGTGTGTAACAAGACACGACTAAGTATCTAGGCTGGTTGATGCATCTGGTTATCTTGATGCTGTTGATCCATGGTGGATGGTTAAAGAACAAGTGTCTGAATGATCCGAATGAGATTCATCAAACCACCTGGACTGACTGAGCAATCTACTCTGAATTGTTCACTCAGTGTCCCAGGGTGAGCTCAGGTGACATTTGGAAATACGTTTTAAATGACTCACTCTTCACCATAACAACATCCACAACTTTGTGTTTTCCATAATCTGCACATCTTTACCTGGAAGACATATCCATCTTGTTATCCAAGTGAAAAGACCTTTTTGATACAAATGGAGGGTGAATGTCCCCAAAAAAGATCAGTGGACGTTCAATGTAAAGTGCAGAATGAGGGGAAAAAAAGCAATTCATTGTTCCGTCACAGCTCTTGGCACTTGCTGTGAATTAAAAGCAAATCTTTGTCTGTGTGTGTGTGTGTGTGTGTGAGAGAGTACACCCCCCACACCCCCCCCCACACCCATCTGCAGGTACAGTATGTGCTCTTAAGAGGTCTTCAACTGGCCATCTCCCAAGATGAAATTCAATGGGATGAGTCAGGGATGCACCTAATTGCTATTGATTGCAATGTGCTGCATAAAATTGCTTCCCTTTTCTTATCCACGGTGGGAGGTGGGAGAAGGCAATTAGCAGCATGGACGAGATAGAAGCTCGGACTGACTTGTAATGAAATGGAATGGAGGAATGAACTTGTGAGTAATGCCCTTGAACTCGCTGAGCTTTACAACAACCACATTAACCGCTGGTATTTTCTCTCTGAGAACTGTGAGCCAGGAAAACGTTGTACCTTTATACTTATTCAGAAATGTTCTGTTCCGAGTAAAGATGAACTTAAGGTTTGTTGTGTCCCAGGTCAGCTGTTAAGTTTGCATTTACTTGTGTGGTTTTATTACATGGAGAACATAGCAGAAGAGATTTGCTTTAGTATCAAATGAATTCCACCTCACACCCGTCATACATGTATGTGTCAGTAGCTGTGGTGCTTTTCAAAGTGAAGAAATAAGTATTTTCTACTTGTGTGTCTTGATCATAGACTGTATATAAAGATAGAGGACGTGTCTCCAGCTATCCAGAATTGAAGCCAGAGTCTGAGCAGTAGCGATCGTGGTGTGAAGCCACAGTATTGAGGTCCCGCCTATACACACACTTGACCAATCATGAGTCAGTATTGGCTCCCAAACATATTTATAGAATCAAATAATAAATTAATTAAATATTTGAGAAACATTTATTTGACGTGTACTTTCCCTTCCACGAACATGGAGGCGGGATAATGACCTGTATAGAAGCCAGCCACCAGGAGGCAATCAAGACACTTCAGCTTCACCTTTTGGGAGCAGTCATGCTACTCTTTCTATACAGTCTATGGTTTTGATCAGAGTGAGCATTAACAATGGAAAATGAATAAAAAAAACAACACTCTCTTTCGCTGAATCACAACTTCTTTTAGGTCTATTTAACAAAATAGTTTTCGTCTCAATGAATAATACACATTTCTTATATCTTGTATTTTTTTTTTTTTTTTACTCCACCTCAGATTTCAGAATACACATTATACGTTGGAAGATATTTACATATGAACAACATGGGGAGCACCAGGGGTTGTTTACCGTTTCAAATTTGGACCTTTTGTCTCTTGTACAGTTCAGGGTGAACCTGTGTGAGCATGTATTCATATACAATCAAAGATGCTTTTGATTTACAAACATAAATTTCAAATCTGTAATAGAAATGATATTGTAAGACATAGAAGTTCCACACGAACAGACCCTTGGTGCCCCACAATATAACACAATTGATTGTATAATAACAGTGTTTCTCTCTTCCTATTCCAGATAGAACTCTGTGTTGTTCAGGCACACTTTTATGTAACAGTTTTGTTGCTGAAAAAACTTAAAGGAGGGAAAAAAAACACAATCTTTCATTAGTTTCCAGCTACAGTAAGTCGGTGTCTCATGAAAAGAGTGAATGGTTCATCTTCATGTACAAGCCTGCTGTGGAAATGATGCAAGTACACGTGGGGGTCATTTGCAAAGACATTCGCAGACAAACAAATACTTAAGTTTCTTGGCAGAAAATGAACAAAGGCAGAGTGTACTGCTCATCTGTCCTTGGAACAGTGCAGCTTCACATATTTGAAGGAGAAATGTCATTTTGCATTCTTTGTCCAAGGAGAGGCTCTCTCACTCTGAAATACATGTAGTGCATGTGTGCCGCATGAACACCCAATGTGTTTTTTAAAAGTATAGCTTCCTCTCTAGCGACAGACAATAGCCATCTACTGTATGTTGATCTACAGCCACACTGATCATAATTTTCATTTCAACAGGATCAAACCTATTGAATTTTTAGTGCGGAGCAGTGTGAATAGTATAGTCCTGCTGCATGCCTGCATCCCATTTGCTGGAGTGAAGAAAATACTCTTCCACTGGTCTCTTGACTGGAGCTCCTGCTCTGACTTGATTTCACCTTATTTTGTCTTCCCACTATAATCTATCATGAATCACAACTCTTGTGTGTCGAGCAGTTGAGAATGGTCTGAATGGTTTGACTCACTTTTTGCAATCCTACTTTCACATCTAGTTGATAAAAGCGGCTTGTAAAATTGAGATGAGCAGCCATGGTAGTGTAGCACTATAGCTGTATCAGATCAAGTTTACAGCACAATGTCACAAGGATCAAGTTGCCCGGGTACCCAGATCTGCTATTTTTGCTGTTTCTCACATTTACTTCTATCTTAATATTGTGTCTTTTTAAAGCCAATGGGAACTGGAATCTGTATTTTTAGCTGAACATTCCTCGTCCTTTATACTCCTGCTCATTGACACTGCTGGCTGTTACTGGAATGTCCAAGGGTCAAATAAAGACTAGTTTTAGTGAAAACGTAACTAAACCATCACAGAGGATTCAAACAAAGTAGCATTTAAAGACGTCAGGGCTGTCCATGCAGCATGAAGTCAAAGGCCATGCTTTGTTACTGTTCATCAGCAAAGGCAGCAGTAAGACATCGATGGTGACAGAGATGCCTCTATCTTGTCAAATGACACACTCATTTCAGTCTTCCACTGTTGCTACTCAGTTAAGTTATTCCAGTACTTTTTTGGGGATCCATGTAACGGCTGAATAATTATTTGGCATTTCAAGTAATTAAGATAAATGAAGCACCTCTTATTAATCCGAAAATGTCTGGCGTTTTGGGGCCGAGATTGATAAACCATACATGTCAGTTTTGTTTTATGCGGCTGCAGACCTCAAGCCAGATAGATGAGGCCTGTCTTTGCCCACTGAAAGACACTAAATCACTGCAGCTTAATGATGACACTGACTCCGGCTTCACGGTTACACCTAAGACTGGACTCCACCCACATCCTTTCACTTCTAATTCCGCCACCACCCATGTACTGCAGTTAAAAAACACAGCTGACTTTGCAGGCTTTGAGATTCTTCCAAAAATGAGTTTTTGTGCCTTTTAAGGTAATATAACTCTTTACTCGTCAGCCCTTTATCCCTACGTTCATTTCTGTCTCATTACACAGTACAGAGAGCTGCTATTAAGCAGCCCATCCATCACAGCCCAGAAATAGGGTCTAAAAGGTTAACAGGGACGGATTTTCTGGAAATGGAATAAACTCTTGTGATGAATGGAACAAGCTTTCTGGATTTCACCTTTGAATTAATGACTAGTATTTATCATCTCAAAAACAAAATGTTTTGGACGCTGGTTGGGTGATTTTTTTTTTTCTTTTTGACCGGACCATTGAGGGCCACTGAGATCTGGGGTAAAATATTAAAACAATATATTAACTTAGCCCTGGCCACTGTGGATTAGCTTTTCTATTCTGTATCGGGGTATAACTAAAAATTAATTAGGTAATCTTTAGCAGTGGGTTAATGTAACCGCTTTGTATCTTAACAAGCCTTATAGGTTTTAGTGCTTCAGTGGGTGAAGATCAACACACTGTGTCTGTGAGACTGTGGATGAATGGGGTGCTTGTGTACGCTCACACGGACAATGTGCATGCAAATGCTCCTTAAAAGCATTTAGACAAATGCAGATTCCCTCCTTTTGTCTGCCGGTTCGCGTCGAGAGCTACCCAGCATGCAGGCTGCGGCAGCGCCAAAGCACCCAGCTGGATGATTTATCGCAGAATACTCCGTGATTAAGGGAAATTAAAGCAGGCTGCTCTCTGCTGGCTAATTGCTTTGATAACAAGTTCAAGCAGTTAGTTAGTGGGAATATTTTGGAGGATATGGACCTCTGAGAGAAAACAATAACGACAATTAAGCTGGAAGGGGCTGCCCGAAGTTGTTTTTCATACTTGCTGGTTACCGTCTTTTCTGTTCTTCAGCTGACTATACAATATCAATGTGTGTCTGCCTCTGCTGCAACAATAGAGACAGGACTCAAAACTGTGGTGCGATGATCAATAAAGTCACTGTGTTGTGATGTGGTTTATAAAAGTGAGAGTAGCATCGTCCAAGTCTTAAAGGTGACTTTCCTGCCATAGTGATAAAACAACATGGAGACAAACGTTTGTGTGATGTGCATTTTGTAAACAAGCTCTTAGAGTGAAATTGTGAAACTCAAACACACCTTTGCAGTGCTTTCAAACCTCGTATGAACCCTCCAAAAAAAGCGCTGTTAAGTGTGCTTACGGTTTGTTTTTCCTGCTGTTGCAATTTGCACCTGCGTGATTGTGACAGACAGACAAGCAGATGACATACACACTGAAATCAACATGAGCAATTCAACATTGCCATCAGTTAGGAAAGAGTCCCAGGAGCTTAGAAACGTTTTGTGTGTGAGAGCAGCAAGTCAAGCGAGTCAACTTCTTGAAAATATATCGGACGATTAAAACTGGAGGGTGGAAGCGGCCAGGAGACAAGTTCCGTCTTCTTCTTGGTGGCTAGATTCGTTGTTTGTGTGAAGCTTTGTGAGTGCATCTCCTCGATACTATGCTGTCTCAGGTAATGTAGGAATTGTGCTCCTGCCCTGTCAATCATACAAAATGGTGCAGTAGTAGGCAGGGCCTTGCCTGAGCTTTTCCACCATTCCCGGCGGAGTCTCTCTATGACAACGACTGGCCGTTGAGGCACTCCCGCCGCCAGCACTGTGCAGGCTTCCACCAGTCTCCGTTGTGGCAGCGACAGATGGTGCAGTCGTCCACCTTTACCTCAATTCCGGCTGGGATGATCGTGGTTCCGGCAAAGCAATTTGGACCTGCCACATGGGATGGGAGAGAAAGACAGAAAAGAGGGAATGAGAAAGACAAGAAATGGATGTGGCTCTCCTGAGAGCTTCTCTTTTCGGAGGGGTGGTGGAGTGATGCAGAGAGCTGCAGGGAGTTTGGGGAGTCAGAGCAGACGTACAGATCTTTTCACGGGCATGCACCGATGGGCTTGTTTTTGCAACACTAAAGCGCTTTTGTTAGTCTCCCCTTCTCCCTCGACATAGAGCGCTTTGCATCCTAATGCACCACGAGCAGAGAAGCCTGCCAGGCGCTGGCTTGGCAGTACAGAGAGGCTGGAGTACAGAGAGAGGGAGGGAGGGAGAGAAAGCTGCTTTGAGAGGCAGCAGGGAGGATGGTGTTAATCACTTCAGTCTGTATGAAGGGGCCACAGAACTCCTTAGCAATTCCTTCCAGTTTCTTCCTCCTCACTCACTGTACTGACTTCCAAAACAAAACAAATGAAATATGACATCTGATTTTCCCCTTAAAACACTCCAGGATTTACTCGCATCCATCCCTCTGTGTTGATCTCAAATTCTAAAATGTGTTTCATTGTGTGGCACTGGCACACCTCACACACGCGTGTTGGATAATCTCAGCAGATAGAGAGACACATTTGCCTGCACGGGTACATTTAAGGATCTGTCCTCGAGGAAGCCAAAAATGCTGTTACCTTTGAGAGAGACTTGTGTATCTTCTTCCTCTGCCTCCTTAGACATGAGAGCCAGGAGTTGCCAGGAATTCGCCCCAGTTTTAATCATTTAAATGAAGCAATCAGCGGCTCAATTGGTGTGACGGTGACTTTGGATTGCTCTCAGTAGTCTGATGTGCAATCCCTGCCAGATCCAAGACTCCTCTACGAGTAGTCATAAAAAACTCATATGTCTCATAACTCTTGAAGACACAGTAGCTTTCACGGCTAATATTCATCGACATCTTAGTGGCCCAGTGAATTTGATTTAGTGGGAGCTAAGTCAATGCTAGCAATGTAAATGTAAGGCAGCATGGTTAGTCGACCTGAGGAACCAGAATGCATTGGGGACACGGGCCAGCTACGTGCACGTCTGCCCAAACTCTTTACTAGGACACTATACCTGTCTTTTTCATTGAAGACAGTTTGACACGTCACAGTTCGTAAGGCAAGGATGCAGTTGATAAAATAAAAGTGATGATGACGAGATTCCATTTAGCTGCTTTTGTTTCAGGTCTATTGTATATACTGGTTCACTGACACTAAAGAACTGCAGTGCCAACATTAGCATTTCCTTTTCTTGATAACACATCAAAATGTTTGCCTTGAAACTGGCCTGTTCATTTTTTGGCAACTCAAAACACATTTATATATTATGTCCTGTCTTTTGAATACTCAGCCCAGCTTCCACCATTGGCCAGAATACTGCAGAGACTTTCTTGTTGTTGTGTACTGTTGCGTTCTTCATTAATGAAATCTCTGGATCATATAATAACCAAAAAGATTACTTTTATCTAACCTAATGAAGTGTTTCAGTAGCCTAAATATTTTGTTTTAGGAGTTATTGCCAGAATTTTTTAGTGAAAAAAGGTGCTGGTGGCTGTTATTATCCATGTGATACTGGCAAAATAAGCTGTTGGCTATCCAGTATCTCATCCTCTGCCTCAGCCTGGATTAGTCCCATGCTTTCTCTGACCTGATAAAAACCTTTTGATCTGAGCTTAGAGGAGACATTGAGAGCGATCTGAACTTTCATTGATCTGCCTCTGAACAGCTGGCACAGGTTACAGGACAAACTCGGCAGAGGTTGATGAGGGTGCACCGTGACTACTGCTGCTACCAAGTGTGATTGTTTATGGCCAAGATAGATTCGAGCCACAAGGACAACACTTTCAGCTACCTGTCACCACTCAAGGGATACGCGGTGACCTGTCCGAGCAAGTGATCAATTCACGGCCAATAGAAGTTATTGGACTGTTTGTCCTGTGTCAACTGCCTCAGCACATACTCCCCCTAAGGACAGATAGATGAGTGAATGCCTATCAGGGCAAATTAAAGTCTATTTGGCTCAAATATAATTACTGCCTGAAGGTAAGAAATTACTTTCACCTGCCAAAAACCTACAATTACCAAAACCTACAGCTTGTCCACGGAATGTGTCAATTTGAAAATGTTACCAAGCTGTAGCTATATTGTACTTTCACTCGATGATAGGTCTGTCACAATAATCACACTGGTAGCACTCAGAGGTGGCAGATCTATGAATGCTTCTGTTCTGTGAAGACACTGCCCATATTCACAGCACTACTTTTTATCCTTTTCATCATGAGATCATGTGTCCCCTGATGCATTTACAGTATAAATTTCACGACAATGATTAGAGCTGAAACAGTTGGAGTCATTGAACGTGAAGCTAAGAGATAAGCACTCCTATTCCATTGTACAGATTGTTACCAGACTACATTCTACTTTAAAAGGTTCATTTTAGATTATGAAATGATCTTGAATGAATGACCTGTAAACCACATCTAGCCCTTATTTCAATCAACATACACATTAACAAATCATAAAATCCTTGATTCGTGGTAATGTGAGAAGCATTCCACGGTAAAGTTTCAGCCTTTAGTAATTCAGCCAGTCTTTGGGAATTCAGATTTTTGTTTTGAAATGTAAACAACCCACAGGCATCTGTAATGAGTGGGTTCAGTCGGACCTTTCACCTGCGCTAGAATGGTGCAAATGCAGTGTGGAGATACTACAGCTGCACTTCCCACGCAATAGTTTGTCTGCAGATACAAAGAGCCGTGTCAAGAGTAACAGTGTAACCCAGCAGACATACACTAATTTATACAAAGCTTGCTTCTTTGCCTCTGGAATTAGTCTGTCACACGCGACTTTATGAAATCTGCATCTCGGAAATGCACATTTAGGTTTCTGGAAACATGCTTCTCCAGCATAAAGAGAAAACGCCTAACTAGAAATAACATTTAGAATTTTTTTTTAATAATGTAGCTGTAACAAATACACCGAACTCTGTTGAGAATTGTTGATATTTTAAAAGGTTCTTTGCTTAATATCGGAGATACTAGTTTGTTTCATCTAAATTGTATGGATTGTAGTTTTGTTTACCCCAGAAAAGGCCCTTTATATTTAAATACTTTAAATTCTCATCAAGGGGACCCTCTCTTCGGAGGCCCCCATGGTTTTTACAGTCGTCCAAACTGGACAAACTAAACACCTTTGAGTGTGAGATGAGGGGTGTTTAGCTGCAACATACAATTTCAACACTAGATGTCACAAAATTCTACACACTGAACCTTTAACAAAGTTACATAGCAAGAACTGGCATGTGGGGTGAGGAGTGGAAGTGAAATCAGTAACATTCTCCTCAAAAAATAGTTTTTGTCCAATATTTGGGTTATGACCCACATCAGCCTCAGGTGTACTTTGTGCTTGGTAGGAATTGACAAACATTGGACTTAAATCCAATCTGGCAGAATTGTTGACATGGCTGGAGATGCCTTTTAAAATGAGAAAAATTCTTCTGTGAAAATCAAAAAACTTATGTTCTGAGTGAAAAGATAGATAGTCAAGATAGATAGTGTGGTGGCAAACTCCTGCTAACTGTGGTTATTGGTCTTTCTTGTTATCCTTCCCTGGTGGGAAGACATATGCAGTGCACAAAGCATATTGGCATTTTAAAAGCGTTGTGTTAGTTTCACGTAATTATTGGACACCAACGCTTGCTGCAGGTGAAGTAAAAGACAAATGTCTGACTGTCTCCCACTGATTGCATATCTAACCAGAGCCCATAAGTAAATGTCTTCCTTACGTTGTCCCTTCGGCCAAAAATGAGACCTAAAGAGCATTCCTTCATCGTCCTCTCCACAAAGGCCTCAGCCATCCACCCCCATAGAGACTTATCTGGCTGCCAGAGCCTGACCATGCGCCCTTGGGGAGCCTAGAAACGGCAGGCCTACCCTGAAATGCCAAGGGTGTCACTGTGTCCTGTCAGCCTGGATTAGCTCTCTCCTAGCAGCTTATGCAGCAGCCTTGTTAGTGTGGGTGTTTGTATGTGTGTGTGTATTGAAATAAAGAAAGCAAGGGGGATGAAAAGGAAATGAGAGGAAGTGTGAAAAATAAACTACAAGTAAGTTGTGGTGAAACGGCCATGTGATATTCGCCTTAAATTCCTAAATTCCTCTCTTCAACCGTTGCCAAAAGAAATAGAAACATATTTCACAAATTGTATTATGCCTTCTTTGAAAAGTGGATACTCGTACAGTTAACAGTTTCTCCATTATGAGAAGACTGAATGAAGTAAATAGGGGATATAATCACAAAACTACATCTTGTTATATTCTATATTTGCTCTTTTTCTGTTCTTTAAATGTCTGAAGTTCAGATGTGTGTGTAAAAAAAATTGTAAATCTTTCATCGAATAATGCAACAGGCTGTTGAGTCTGTATTTTCATTACTTCCCAGCCAGGAAGCCATTGCAGATGAATTGTTACTGTACTTTTGTCATAAAGCTCCATGTGTCCCTTAGGATTGGTGCTGGCAAAGGGACGTCTCCCACCTTGCCTTGTAAATAGCCAACGAACCATTGGAATCCCATAATTCTAATTTAGTGATTGGCTGTGTGTGACAGGGGCACCAGGGCACTGGGAGATAAAAGGCTCTCTGAGGACCCATTAGTCCCACCTACCATGCCTTTAATCAATGGGCTAATGTTTGCTCTGCTTAGTGTGTCATTTATAATTAAAACTAGTACTGCTCATTAGTGTACAACGGGCCCAAGGTAATAATTTTAATTCATAAAACATCAATTACATCCTCATCCTCTAAAGGTGCAGCCATCAAATGACGATAGCCCAGATAAACTTGCCATCATTGGTTTAATGAAAGTTTAATGACTTCTGAGGAATGTGCGTTGAATTCCAGAGGAAGTGAAGAGTGTTTACCGTTTTTACAGATGGGGCAGCATTGCTCCGGCTCGTACACGGGGTTGACGCACTCTGGGACGGCGCAGTCAGACACCACGCAGTGCACCTCGTTATTTGGTTCGCAGCGGCACCATTCGCAGGGTGACGGCTGTGGGCAGAGGGGGCAAGAAAAACAGCGGTGCTAGGTTAGACGATTCAGTGTAAAATGTTCCACAGGACTTAGCCTACTAGTGGTCAGTTGCAGAAACTGTCTGCTCCTATATGCATATATTTGCTGACCTTTTCAAATTAAGAAAACTTCTATTATTTGGACCTCGTACTGTTTTAACAAGCAAAGAAACAAGTTAATGAATTATTCACAGAGCCAACAAACAGAGCCTGTAGCTGACTTTGAATAAAATGACTAGAAATAACTATTAGGGAGCCTAGAAAGTGGTCTTCGTGATATTTAGTATTTTGCTGTGTTCTGCTGCGTTCTGCCTCAGGCAATGGTTCAGAGGCTTATCCTACCACCTCTGCAACATGTAAATCAGTGCAATGCAGCTCTCTTCACTGCTGCTGCCTCTTTCTTTACTCTATCTTCAAAACTCTTTTGACCGGAAAATGAACCGTAATGCAATTACATGGAGTGGAAAAATACAAACCGGTTCCGCGTCTTGAAAGGTCACCTGCTCATCATAATAGATTTTCTTTCTGCTCATCACAGTTAACAGTCTTTTTAGGGGCCCCTCTACACCAAGTACGGTCTATCATTGACCTGGTACCATACTAACCTCAGAGGGTTCAAATGTTCCATCTTAAGATATAGATTTTATTTTATTTTTGTGGTAGATTTATGTGAAGAACATCAACTGCAACCAAAACAGTTCAGCTAAGTCATAAACATTATTATGAGTTGAGCATTTGAAAGTTTGCAACAGTCAATATTCAATGCATATCATTATGCTATTTATATTATATACTTATTTTATATAAGCAAAGGTTTTTGAGCAAATGTTTTAAAATCACTTAAAAGTCAATGACATGACTCATGCAGTACAATAAAGGTTATATTTATATTTATAATTATATTTTTAAGGCTTAATGAGAGTTCAATGAGAAGATTAACTCCCCGTCTATATAGCTGTTGCTTTTTAACTTTGTATTTTGAATGAGTTAAATGAACACGATACTGTTAAATGTGCATAAAAAGGGCTGGACAGAGCTGTATGTTTCCTCATGCATTGTCTAGTCTTTAAGCTAAGCTAACTAGCTGCAGGCTACAGCTACAAATCTACCATACACATTTGAAAGCCATTTAATTTTCTCATCCAACTCCTATAGCAAGAAAGCAATTAAGCCTTTTTTCCCCAAAATGATGAGCTGTTTCCTTAATTGCTGGATATCACTTTGAAATGAATGATTCTGTTTTCCTCATTATGCCATCAACTACCTCAAATGCACCTTTGAAGTTTTAATTATAGTTAAAAACAACTGTTACTACTCATGATCCAGTTGTTTGTAGAGATTTGTAGAATAACTATGGTGACACCGGATGCTTTAATGTTCAACCAGTTTTGCTAGGATGCAAGTCGGAATATTAGAATTTATATTAGAATTTATGGCAGTCTGGATGCACTGCAACAACTTGAGTGCATAACCTATTTTGTGATTGTGACCACACTTACTGTTCATAGAACACTCTCCTGTAGAATGAGATCTCCTAAAGCTCCTGTGAGAACCCGGTCAGAGAAAACTCCCTACTTCCATTTTCATGTGCTAGAAATATTTAAAACATTAACTGTTTGATAGATGCACTTAATCTGATATGTCAGACAACAGTCCAGTGGGATAACAACGTAGGATTTTTAAAAAGGTCAACAAACAGTTATCAGCATATTTTGGTAAAGAGTAGGCCCCTTACAAGGAAATGAATCCGTGCAGGAAGAGTGACTGCGTCTGGGACTTGTTTCTGCTCTGATATATAAAAAACTCATGTTGTGCGTGTCTCTGCTTTTAAAGATTCACACTCTCAGTGATGTTAATGAAGATAGATTTCCACTGCATATTCACCGTCTGCTGCATATTTTTAGAGTTTTCTGAAGTAAAAACCCATCTCAAGGCTTTTCCTTCTCTGTTGGAGGACGCACTTACAGGCTTTTAAGAAACACCCATATAGATAACATCTGAACCTCTATAAATGAACCCTTCTCACATTAGAAATTCCAGTCAGAAATTCTTTTCATATCTTTCCCCAGTCAAATAGGTGACACCAGGCTCCTCACATAAACAAACTAGAGGAATACATATCAAACACCCCTGCAATTCTCCACCCTCCTGTCAATTTGAGGGCTCGTTCAGAAATGTACCGATTAAACATAAGGTTTGAGTCTCATACAAATGTAAGATGCGCTACATATTATCAAATGTAAAGCGTTAGGGGGCTGTCCAGGTGTGAATCTGTCAGTGGTGGAGCATAAGGCGCTGTCTGACACATTTAATCTAGTTTTATCCCTTTTAGTTTTACAATTGTCTCCTATAGAGATATTTGTCTTGGTGCCAGGACCAGTGATTACATATGTAAAGCTGAGTTTTCTCGGCAGGTTAAGTGAAAATGTCAATTATGTAAGGTATCAATATTTTTCATCAGGGAATTGATGCTGCCACTGACGTGGATATTTTGCTAAATTAATGTTTTCCCTTGCGTTGGAGGTTCAGGGTTTAAGTCACGAATACAAACCCCTTCTGATTTTTTTTTTAAAACTGCAGTATCGTTGTGTGCATGGAAAATGAAGCGTTTGGGAAACAATGACATCAGAGCTTTCTGTGTGCATGCACCATCCTGCATTGTGTGAGGTGCATGCGCCAGAAACAACGACAACAATGGAGGCTATATCCCAGTTTCTCCATGTTTGGTTTGCACTGCCAGGTTCTAAACACAAGTTTACAGCTTCGCTGGTATTTGTCAGATTGTTGATATAGAGAGTTTATCTCCACCTACTGGTCAGACATGCTTGTTTGAGCACTTGTAGTCTTTTTTGTCTTCTTGCCTAGATGGAGATCTTTTTAAAAGGGTTGTCGTGCTTTGTTTATTTATTTATTTTAATGAGGAGAAAAATATCTGTTAAAAAAATAACCGCAGTAGTGTAGACAAGGCCTAAAGCAACAGTTTTTTGCAGTTATGAGATGCATAAAGTTATATGGAGGCTAAAACTCACTCAGTTTATTTACTTACAAACTAGCAAGATTAATGTGGAAATCCCAAATCTTTGTTTGGCCTTATAAACATGATATCCAAACCTGGACAAGCACCATTTATGACTGAAAATCTTAACTGGAACACTGCAATAGTAACTTAGATAGCAGGACAGTTTATCCAGTCATGATGACAGTGCACAGAAAAACATCATCTTAATTAATTGTTATGATGATGTGCTAAATTGAAAGAAGTCTGACTGCAGAGGAGGAATTGCATGGCTTGTCCTTTATTGCTGCTGATAAGATAAAGAAACTTAAACCAGAATGCGGTAGAGTCCTGGCAGACAGAAAGAAAAAAAAATTGGCTCGTTCTTAGATGTTGAAAGAGCTCAGCATGTACAGAAAGGAGAGAGGCGGGATGCAGAGGAGTTTGACGGACCTGCACTGATGCAGACGATCAGAAACCTGCCTATGATTACGATACTAATAATCACACTTCTGTATGAATATGGTATATCCACAGTATAATCAGAAAACAACTTAAAACCAGTAGCATCTTTCCAACATTTATAAGCAATTCAATAATGAGAATAATAACAGTGAAATGCTGCTTTTTTTTCTTGGAATAAAAGCAACAGGCCAACAACTTGTTTCTTTATCTTTAGTTAGCAGTAGATATTAGAGGCAGCAGGATGATTAGTTAAGTGGATGGTAAAGATCCAACTAACACCAGTTCTGAATCATATTTGATCGACTGCCAAAAGTGCAGCGGGGAAATTAGTCCAACACATAAAAATGGGGACAATTAGACACAGTTAGTTTGGCACAGACACCGTTTCACTTCTTCCCCATAAGGCATATTACTATCTTTATAAGATAGAGAGGGAAATGATTAAAAATTATACAGGCGTCTTTAAAGTGCAACATTGGTGAGGCATGACGTCGGCTAAACCTTTCATTTGTTTTTCTTAGCTTCGTCTCAAATAGACTCTGCTGGTGAATAAATTGGAATTAACCTCAACATAAGAGTTTTTACACGTTTGGTTCGAGGCGATTGCAGTTGATACTGGAAAAAAACGTGAGGAAGAAACAACAAAAACTGAGGTTCAGTTTTTGTTGTTTCTGCCTCTCATTTATTTTTCATTATTGCAGGATTGACAAGAAACGGTGGCAGCTGGTTTCTCGACACGCTGAATGCAATATTGAGAGAGATCCAGCTGTGTTTCTTGATCTCCCTGCTACCACTTCATCCATGTGGCTTCTACATACGAGCTGACCGGCTATGAGAGACGGTGGTGTTTATTCCCATCACACGTTGGCCTTTAAAAGTAAAGCATATCAAAATCTGTGGTGGCATTTCTTTGTAGGTTAATCTGCGGTGAAGCGTGTAGGAGCTCAGCGCTGCACACGCCTCATACAGAAAAGTATGTTAAAAATGTGAATAGGAAAAAGAAAAGTACTCTGTGTTCTTATGCGACATAGCCATAACGTGTTCGGCAGCGCCCGGTGCTTTGAGTGCGCTCCTTTGTGTGAGGTCTGCTGTGAAGAGGATCAGTCATGCCCAGACTCAAAAGAAAATGGAGCAGCAGCACTGAATTTGGACGTGCCGCCAGATGTTTTGGTGAAGTAAAAATCTCCTATTGCCCCCCCCTCTCATCTTATCGGCATGGCTTTCAGAGTGAATCGTCTGTCATGCCTTTCATTCCCACCCTGAGACTAATGGGAGACGGGGCAGGGAAGCAATGAATAGTCAAATAACCTTCAGCTGGGGCAAATGGTAATGTAAAAATACTGGGGGGCTGGACAACAGGGTCACAGGAAACTCGCCCATGCGGATAATAGGAGTGACGGGAATGGATTGACAGTCAAACTGCATGCTGCTGTTCAAGTCAAGACAGTATTTCAGCGGTGGTCAGTGAATCCAGAGAGAGAGGAGGTGAGACTGAGGATCTGGGTACTAAAAACACTGATGATGTTTTTACAGGGGAAGTTTAAGTGTACGTTCATATCTCATTGTCTGCATGTTGTTTCTTATAATTAGGACGCCTGATGCTTTTGATAAACTGAATAGAAGAAATCAATTGGAGCAATCGTTGCTCTCATACTGTACATGTCAGCGCTGAAGTGCAGAGGCACTAATTACTGCTGTGTGCGATGTGGAGGCTGTGTGCACATGCATGCTGCTTTAAATCGATTACTGTGATTGCCTGCACGTGTGCTTCCATTGCACATTCTTATAATTAAGGTACGCTAAGTGTGCTAAGATGCTAAGGTTTGTAAGCTCTGCATAGACTTTTCTTGTATTGAGCTGACAATTAAAAGTTGCTAAAAACAGACAATCCTCTCATTTGTATATGACAAATGCTTAAAAAAGCTAAATGTTTTTTCTCTCCTTAAACTGCTCTGCATTTGGATTGATTTGTACCAGGGATTTGAAGAAAGGTACATATAATAAAGTGTTAATGCTACATGTTTTAGCTGTACTTGCAAATGATTCATTTAACATTAGTTACTTCCCAACAGGGAAATAGAATCTGATGCCTGAAATCAGTGTGTATCTTTATCCCCTTTCCCCACATCCCCACTCTCAACTCTGTATCCCTCGAGGGGGGATCGCAGGAAGCACGGACGGGATTGTTCACATTTGAGTTCACATCCCAGCCCTCGCCTGACGATCTGGGATCTGAACTCACCCTATAGCTCCTGGTTCTTGATTGCAGCTGCGCTGAGGCCAGAGGCACACTGGCTGCCGTGTTGGGTGGGATGGTCCCTTCCTCATCTGATGGGGAACCCTGTCGGTGAAACACCTACTAAGGTTGAGTGGCATGACTCTCTTACATGGCAACAAAACAAAATGATAGAAAATACACCCACTGGTAATGAATGTGCACCTGCAAAATCTACATTAAACTCTATGTGTATGAAGTTTTCCTGTACTTGACTTTTGTCAGGTTACTGCAGTCAGCTGCTTTACGTTTAAGGCCCATTACCACTTATATGACAATGACGTCTCCTCTGCTGACATGGGCCTTGATGAGTGATCTATTGCATGATGGGATTTTCAGCTAAATTAATTAAATGCTACATCAATTCACCCTTTTAAACTTGGACCCCCCAGCATCCCAGAAACTCTCCCCTCACTGCATCTCATTTGTTATCTTCATGCAAGATGCTGTGTCTCTGCACATACTTCTGAATCTAAATGCAAACGTGTGCACAATGTGCCATGATTACAGCCAAGGAAATGCCAATGAGGCCCACACCAAAGGTTAACCTGTCGGCATCTCTAAACTGGGGTCTGTATCCAGATACTGACAGCCTTTGATTTCCTTGGAACACTGTGGGGTTCCACAGCTTTCATGTCCTCGCTGTAGAGACTCAACCTCGTCACTGGATGTCGACGAAGACATCAGAGTTACTTGTGCGGTCTTAGATGGCGGAGGATGATCATCCTGCACCAAAGATTCCCTCAGTCCTTATTTCTGTCACCAAGATAATCAGTAAGAGCAAATTAATCTTTCTCTCTTTTTCCCCCCTTAAGTATGAAGAAATGTCCTTCCCTCTCCAGGGCCTCTTCAAGGTTAGCATGAGGGTGAGGTGCTCTATTGATGGACTTGATCTTGCACTAAACTGCACGGTGTATGCACACACAGCAGCTCTGACAAAATCTGTGGCCCTGCATCTCAATGCAGGACTGAGTTTGATGCAGTCTAACATGCGACTACACCAATCAGTACAGATTAATTATGTAGGTGTTAAATACGCTGATTCCACATAAAACAAACTGTACATCACAGTCATGCTAATGTACCAAACACATAATGTAGGGCTGCAGCTAACAATTATTTTTCAATATCTATTTTTTGATTATTATTTTTTAATAAATTCAATTTTTATTCATGCAAAACATAGAAAGCAATGAAATCTGACTGTTTAGAACCGGTTCTGCTCAATAAATGTCAAATGATTTGTATTAATTGACTAATCAGTTAATTAACTAATTGATTCAGCATGAGCATAATTGCCTCTTCAGGCAAAATCATTTTTAACATTGAAAAACCAGAATGGTGCAACTCTCAATCTAACTGAATGTATGGAGGCACTCTATGGTTCTTTTGTTTTACCTGAATTCTCCCCCCCAAAAATTCCACAGCAACACAGATAAACTGTAGCAGACTGGTTAATAACGATGTTTGCCTGCATCGTATTTGGCTTAACTCGCTGTGCAGCCCCCTGCCTGCTTTTATTTGCCTCAGTGACATGACATGCTAACAGTCGCAGGTGTGACATGTTCGAGTGTCTCCAGAACAAAAAGCCTCGCCGTGGAGTCATTATTGGAACAGAACAAACATGCTATTAAATTACATGACATTCTAAAATACGCTGTTTCCTCACACTGACGACTGACTTAGTCACGTTGTGATGCACTTGGGATGTTTCAACACAAAATGAAACATATTTATGCCAGTCAAAACTGCAGTGAGAGTTTCAGCTTGTTTTTATGAGTTTGTGATGACAGATTATGATACAGTTTGTTTTATAAGTTTGTGAACATGCAGCATTTCCCATCAACAGAAGCAGCCCAGGTTCATCATCCTCTTCATTTATATTGTTAAATAATCATAATTATGAACTTAACAACTGCACTAATCTATTTTTTTTTTTAAATCATGGGCCAAATCGCTAAATATAGCCTTGTAGTGCCATAGAATATTTTAGCATATTTTTGCTAATTTGTTTGTTTTTACAATTAGGAAGCTGTAAGAAGCTACATGTCAGCATCTTTGAGCCAGTTGACTTACTGTCTGTCAACTCACTCTCATTGAAACTCATCATCACTAGTGAATAGAGAAAAGTATTTTAAAACCAAGTGTACACTGCCTGTAAAGGTATAGCTGGTGACCATAGTAGAACATTTAATGTTGGTGGAAACCAAAAAAAAAGAGCCAAAGAAGAGGGAATATTGGACTTCACCCTCATAAACAGCTAAAAACACCACTCTGAATGAGTGCTAATGCTGCTCTGCGCCTGCTGGATGTCTAAGGGGTTAACTGTTTGCCATAACGACTTTGTAAGATGATAATATTTCAGCTGAAGTTTACAGCTTGTTCAAGTTGCAGTGCTATCAGTCCTGCATCGTTTGAAGGCAGAGAGAATGTGAAATGCCAATGTTCAGATGAAGAGTTACTGAAGATTAAATAATCAGCTCACAGACTCATTGTTTGGGGTTTTGAACAACGTTTAAAAAAACTATTCACAGTTAATTGCTACTAAAAATGAATCTGTTGTTTTTATGGGAATGTTTTGTAAGATTTGATGAGACAATTATAGGTAAAATAAACAAATAGCTGTGGGCATTTGAGAATGATTTTTCAGAATAACGTCATATATCGGTTACATTTTTTTCTTTTTTAGTTTTATACAGTATTTGGCAGTAACCAGTGATGTGCAACTCTTCATTAATCTGCTACTGACCTCGGTGTTATTCTTGGGGAATCTTTTGAAAGGTTAGTTTCACATATTCTTTTAGTTGCGAACCATCTATCTCTGGATTCTGGTCTAAAAACAGTGACCAACAATTGTTGGACTCGTTGTCATCCGAGCGGATATTTGTTTAGAACAACAATGAAGCACACTGCTGTTCACTGACATATAAACATTCATCTAATTGGAAGAACCCATCGCTCACAAAGCTGCCACTGGTCTTTGTTTCCAATTTTTTACATCTGAACACTGGAAATTGTCTCCCCACAGTGGTCTGTGTCTGAATGCATCTCAGGTGATAAATAGCTCTGTTGTCTTAGGATGAAGCTTTGTTTTGTATGTGCACCAGGGTCGTGTTTTCTAACTTGTGGCAGGTGGCTTGTCTCCCTCAGCAAATACTGGACTCACTTGATGTTCAGGTGTCCATAACCTTGTCATAACCTGTCCTAACAAGTAACTGTTAGATCCAGAACATGGATAAATTCAATCGTGCAACTGAAACAAAAATAATATAATGTAATTAGGTTTGCCATTTTATTTTTTATTGCATTTTGGTAACAAAGCTACTCCTAACCAGTTACTGATGTGCTTGCACAGATGCGAACACTGTTAACCGCAGAGCTATACCGTTGTTTAGGCTGCATCATGTCATTTTATATTTCAATCACTTACAGCCCCAATCCACTTGTGGGGAATTCAGATGAGGTTCCCTCATGGGCAGCAGCAGTTTAAACACAGACTGTAGTTGTCATGCTTGTAGTGTCATTTTTAATCAGGCAGTGCTGTCAGGCTCCGTAATAGCAGCGGAGACACTGGTCTGATGTGTAGGAACAGTGCGGGAGACACAGTGGGAACCTGATCCGCCAGCAATGACTCAGTGTCCACACGTTAAAGCATTGGAACACTGTTGTATTTTGGTTTGGTTTAGTTGTGCTGGGTGAATGTCCAGTTTATGGTGTAGAGAGATGAGGGGGTTGCTTACTCTGGGAGACAGCCATCTTTACGCCCTTGGCTAATAAACACATTTCATGATGCTTTTGCTGTAGAATGCCAGGAACCAATATGAACTCACACTAACAATCCTCCCCACTGCCGGTCAATGCTACCGCAGAGCTGTTTGTAATCGTTGAACTGCACTTCACAAAGACGAGGGAAAGCAGTGAACGAGTTTGATTGACTTCAATATTCAAACCTTTAAGACATATTGTGACGCACATTCATCTGCATCACTTGACAGGATTCAACATGATTGAATATGAACAGGCAAACTAAGATGGCTGCTGTCGTGGCATCCAGACTTTAAGCAGACTGACTCATTGTTCGTGACTGACTGAATCCACCTGGCAAAATTAAGACAACTCATTAGCATCAGATAAAGTGCAAATGAGTTCAAATGATCTGAACTACTTTATCACCACTGGACCATAAAGCATCATAACTGCTCCTGTGAGGCAGTCCATATGAAACATTGATGGTACAAATGCAAGAACAGTTTGCCATGGCTTCTGTTTTTTTAAGTTGAACCTGAACCAGTTGCTTTAAAGGGATAGTTCAACCAAAAATGAAAATTCACTCATTATCTACTAAGCCAATGGAGGGATGGGTGAAGTGTTTGACTCATTTACACCATGTTTTTTGTCTAAATATCCTCAGACATCCGCTTCTGAAGTTGCGTTTGCGTGTGGATCACAGCAGACATTTAGGCTAAAAACAAGGTTTAATGAGGCCGTTTTGAGTCGAATTTGAATGTCGAGGCTTATGGACACTTGGATGACACCACAGGAGCAGTACTGCAGCGTTTTGTGTTGTTGTTTTTTAACGTTTGAAGAAGTGGTCACCATTTACTTCAGTTGTATTGGATTCTGCTCTAACACTGTGTTCACCCACCCCTCCATCAGCATCGTGGTGAGTAGATCATGATTGAATTTTCATTTTTAGGTGAACTATGCCTTCAATGGACAAACTTAGATTATTAAACAAATCTAAGAACAAGTCAGAACTGACCTTGAATTCCTCCAGGATCTTATACGTTTTCCCTCGGTACTCGCAAAAGTTTTTAACCTCCTTGCACTCGGGGCAGCAGCCATTGTGCTCCACTTTGGTGCACTTGGGATGCAGTTTGGGGCACTCGGGCTGGTCGCACACGGGCCCGTCCTCCGTGCACACGCACGGACAGTTCGAGTGTCCCGGGTAGAAGCGCTCCGCGAGTTTGTAGACGAAGCCGCTGTCGTCCACGCATCCTTTCCCCCGGTAATCGTCGAAGACCATGTTGTCGCCGGTGGTCCGCTCCGCCTCGTCCGCGGCGTAATCCTCGGGGTTCCCCACAGAGGCCGGAGACGCGGTGCCCAGGGCCAGCAGGAGGACCAGGGCGGGCGGGAGGATAGGGCCCATCCTTCCCCGCGGCATCGGTATCCACATTTAGCTAAGACGGTGTGGATGTCATCCCTAAGCTCCGGGTATCCTCTCCGTGTCCGTCCTGCGACTCATCATCGTGATCAGCATCACCACTGGAGGAAACGTGCTGCAGTGGGGAAGAATGAGAGGAGATGTGATGGACGGCGGTTCTGCTGCTCACAAACTATTACACCTCACCTCCCCAGTACTTTCCCCTCTTTGCTTTTGCCCATATGTTATATGCTGCGTCCTAAACTGCTGCAAGCGAGGGACCATTCAGAGACAAATGGGAATGCAGTTTATTCAACAGGCTCATGTCCATCTATAATTTTCAATATAAGAAACTCGAGTGAGTGAGTGAGTGAGTGAGTGAGTGAGTGAGTGAATGTGTTTGAGTGCTCAGAATTATCTTCTTCCTGCAACATCTCAGCAAGCAACACATGAAAATGTTAAAACATTCATTATGTGATGGTTAGGGGTTGGAGTGCATTTTAATGTTCACAGTATTCTTTTCCACATGCATTCAAACCAAATCATCTTTGCACAATTTCCAACTCAGAGACAACAGGTAGCTTTAAGTCCGCATCAGGTTCCCTCCATGCCAGCAATTATAAAACAACCACTGCTTTAACAGTAACCTGCGTTTTACTAAATCAGCCACGTTGCATGCAAATGGCCCGAATCCCTGTTAAATGCGCAATGATTTCACCCCAAATGCATTACCCCCTTTGTAATAAAAAATCCAGACAGTTAAATAGGCCTGCACGAGGAGAAAAACGTCCACATATTTGGTCCCTAAGTGCTGCATGTGTGTATTGACACATCAGCTGAAATGCCTGTGATAAGAAGGATGTAAATCAAGCAGACAGGACAAACTCACCGCGTTGAAATTGCTTGATATCCACTCAGTGCGAAGCCTCACAGCCCTGCACACACAGGGCTACGGAGCAGATTACAGACAGACGTCAGGCTTTTGGAAAACTTCACTTTATCCACAGGGTAAATTCACCACGGGCTCCACAAGAGAAAAAAAAGGCTGCTATAATCCTCCCCCCTCCTTCGGTCGTGGTGGTGGGTTTTTAGAAGCAATTAAACACCAGCTCTTTGGAGATACGGTTCCCTCCTCTGCTGCGCAAAGAAAACGGTATCCGTGTAAAAGTGGCTCTGCTTCATTATTATCCACATCGGACTCACCTTTTATTTTTGAGACAATCTCACAGTTCTCGTTCAGAAGGCAGAAACAGACATGGTGGGGGAAAAAAGAAAAAAAAATCCTCTGTAGCGTTCCCTGAGAAATCCGGAGTCAATTCAGTATTTCCCCCAACGACTGCAGGTGAATGTTAGTCAGTCTGGGTGCGCATAACGCGTGTGGCCAATACATCCAGCGGTTTCATGAGAATGAAAAACAATCCCGAAGAAGAAGTTGAGGAGAATAAAATGTTAAACCGTCACAGGCACCGGAGACGAGGAGGGGGAGGGGGGGTTGGTCGGATTCGTCGTCAGCAGGGCGAGACTGAGGAGGGAGCGCTCTGACTTTCAGCACCTTGGAGAGCGACTGTCTCCTGCGTCCTGAGCTGAGCTCAGCAGCGCGCCCCTCCTCCTCCTCTTCCATCCTCCATCCTCCTCCCATCCTCCTCCTCCCCTCACTCACTCACTCACAGACAAAACAATGCTCACATCCCACCATCCGAGGACAACTATACCCGCTGCATCTCTGCAACTGCTCCTGCACGAGTTAAAGGCCAAAAGAAGAACACAAGTCGAGGAATGGAGCAGCAGCTGGAAAAAGGGAAGAGGTAGGTATAGGTCAGGTCTGTCAGATGTGTGTGGTGAGTGCCCCCCCCACCCCTGCAAACTGGTGCGTGCCTGTCTGTGCAATCGTCCCTCTGTGCATGTGTGTCTGCGTGCGTGTCTGCCAGGGTGTCTTCACATGACCTGCAGCAGGATTTCACTGAGTCACCCATTAATTGCAGCACAGTTTACAAGAAAGCCCATTTGTATTCTGCAGAGCAACGCAAACGCAGTGGGTCTGATTCTCTCCTCTCAGTTCCCACAACACAACAGGAAAATACAGCATGGCTTTGCAGAGTGGCATCATGCTTTGTTTTACAGATGGTAGCCCGCAGGGGCCACTGCCTGACTATGTGTTCAGTCTGAGCAGATGACTGAGTGGGACTCAGACCTGCAGACCTTTCACTTAATTAGCTGTTCCCATGAGGGATCTTACACATCTTATCAACCGCAACCTTATGGCCTGCATGTTCATATATAACTATGCATCCATTGCCTTGATCTGAGTAATGATTAAAACCTGCTTTTTCTTTTTACAAGAGCTACTCCACTTGAAACACCTGTCAGCCCCCAGGGTATCTCACTTCCATATTAGAAATGATCCGTCTTCTGCACAGCTGCTGCATGCTTGACCCATCATGGAAGGTCAAATCCAACCCAAAAAAATGCATGTGTGTTTACTCCAGCACGTTCTATGCCTGGCTGAGAACTAACATTAAGATGCTCTATGTGGCTATAGCTGATTACAGAGTCCAGGGGTGTTTCAAGGGAATTTGGGGGACCCATGTAAAAGGAGCCTGCATGTGGGAGCCTACTCTGCACCAAGTTGAACCATTAGGATCCAAAGTACTAAGACTTTGGCATAAAGCTAGTGGCATCCCACATCGCAAAATTGTTTTGGCCCAGATGTGGCCTACATCCTACACATCCCACATTTGGGCCACATAACTCGTGGAATGATGGCACTCGGGCAGTTTGCTCCTGTTTGCTCGATCTGGGCCACGAGTAAACCACTGCAATACTGCATGGGATCCAAAGGTTGCCTGAATTTGTTTTATGCAATTTGGACCATATTCACCATTTACCACATGGGCCACTCTAGGCACACATTCAGATTACTCCTTGCCTAGAGCTTGTTTGCTAGAAAAAAGGCCCACATTTGTTATTTTTCAAGTGGGCCACTTTAGGCTCATATTCATTTTGTCTGGGACACAAGAAGGCCAGCAGTGCAGCATCATTGCCTGATGTGGCCCACATTCATATGTGGCCCACATTCATATGTCATCTTGGGATGTTAGGGGGTGTCTGACCTTTGTGTCATTGCAGTCTCCAGCATATCACATAATTTAAGGAGGTTCTTGCAAAACATTTCTTGTTGTGGACTGACTGAGTAATTGGCTGTTCTCTGTGGGCCCATCTAATCTCAGGGCCCTGGGCAATTGCCTGCTTTGCCTAACCTGTTGCAATGCTGCTTGCGACATCCATGCAATGCAGGTATGGTTTCAAGCATAAACTATTGAAAATATCATATTGTACACTGTATGTAAAAAATTCATTAAAAACTCACCCTCTCAGGTTGATTCTTCTTCACGACCTTCACTAATCATAAAGGAGTGGATAAGATCAGAAACCGGAAAATTAGAGGAAGACTTTGAAGGTTTGAGAAAGCAAAGATGTGACTTGTTCTGCAAGAGCTGCTACTTTATATCTGGAAGTCTCACCTTCACAACTGAGGAGCCCATCAGCTGCACTCCTCCAATTATTTTCCTAATGTCAGAAAATTTAAAAAATGTGATCCATAATCTGTGTTTGAGCCGTATAATTAGGCTAAATGAATGTATGTGAGTGCAGGGCTACGTTACAGTTACGAGACAGTGCAGCCTGTGTCAGTGACAGCAATGACGTGGGGGTTTGTTATCTCTGAAAGACGGCAGGTGTTTGAAATGCAGATGCTGGCATAGCTGCAATCACAACAAAACCTGTGGCAATCAGGGGTTTGTCAAACTCCTGGTAACACTCGCAAAGTGCATAATTACTGTGTCAGCTGAAACATTTAGCAAGCAAACACGAGGGCGAACGGAGGTTACACTGTTAACTTTTCTCCTTGACTGACTGCAGAGCCGAGGAAGGCGTATTTTTAGTAGTCTCTCAGATGGTGTTTGCATCTTGTTTTAATCTCCTCTTACTGCTTTTCTCTCATAAAATTGCACAACCTCTTTTTGCGTGGGCTGTATTTTGCCCTTGTCAGTTCTCTGTCTGACTTTGTTTCCTCTTCAAATCATGCCTCCCCACTTACAGATGTATTTTGTCAGACTAGGGAACTTGTAATAAAAACCAAACCATCCCTCATGGTTTCTAAAAGCATGTTTTTTTCTGCAAGACTTTGCCCAAACATGCACCTTCACCCAGGATTAAAACCTTTGCGTTTTCCAGGCTGCACTCGACCGTGTCCTTAACTATGCAGCGGAAACTCCCCGCACACACACACAACCTCTCCCCTCCACTCTCTGTAGAGAAATCTTGTCCGTTGACCTGGTTACAATGAAAAAGGAACACTTATGGTTTGAAAAGCCTCTCATCTTCCTGCCTCTTCTCACACCACCCCACTGCAACAGAGCCAGAACAAGTATATCATTTATTAAATCTTACATTACACATGAGCAAACGTTGGATCCTTATCTGAGATGTGTTGTCTAAGACAGTCGGCCAGCTACTCCAACACGCCATGGTCCATTAGGCCTTCACTCTGGCTCACGAAAAACATGGGGTGGATGATAAAAAAACAACATAGGAACAGAGAAATGTACTAAAGCCACCACTTCTATTAACAGACTACGCATTTTTTTGTTTTCTATTTTTTTTATCGGTCCTGTGGTGAAGGAGTCCTCTTGGTAGGACAATGCACTCATGTGACATTTTTTTTTTCTGTGCCGACTGAAAGAGATGTTTCCATTTCCAGTTGCATTTGATGTGCAGCAAACAATTGCCAGCCAACAGCACTGGGTTCCAATTCAATCAGCTAATGGAGAGCATGCTGCCTCCCCCACCACCCCGCGCCTTCCTCCTGCCCTCCACCACCTCCGCTTTCCTGAAGCAATACATTCACGGCGAGGGTCTGCACCGCATATTATAATGGTTATAATGGTTTACCCATTAAGGCTACATTTAAAGCCTGCAAGCAGGTTTGGGCATTATGTTTGGTCACAGCCATTCACACTAACTTATTACACTGAATGCCAGAGAGGGAGAAAGCAGAGTTGAGCTGAAGCTCGACAAAGAATAGAGAAAAAGAAGAAAGAGATTGTGTTGGTGGGTCGAGATGTTGGAGAGGAGGGAGAGGGGGGCCTCAGGTGAATCAAGACTTTTGTGTAGGCGAAGCATACATTTTTTTCTTTTCCATGGAAATAGGGGTTATGCTTAATAAAAGCTTTGTGCTAATGTCTTTGCCAGGGAATTTCACGTTTTTACAACGCTCAGCACTTGCTAAGTATTCTGTTCGTGACTTTAAATTAACACTAGTGATACAATTTTACTGTGACAAATTTAATCCTTAGCTTGAGCTCCTGCAATCCTCTGCTGATTTGACTCTGTAACAATGTGAATTCGTGTCTTTCTGGCTGATCCACTCACAACTTGAAAAACTAATTCTGCAGATTCGGCTTTGAGTCAGAAAATTCAGTAAAGTCTTGAATCTATTAGCACTTGAATCAAGTCAGTTTTGCAGCAATTTGTGTATGTTATGTGTAAAATATAGCATCAATAAGAGAGGCTAGATCATGGAGCATGAGATATTTGTAGAGGTATTCAGAGAATGAAAAAGAGTGCCTAACATTATTTGACTGATTGATTTTCAAATTTTATCCATCAATCCATTTTCTGCATCACTTATCCTTCGAGGGCTTCAGCTAATACCGGTTGACATCGGGTGAAGGGGCTACACCCTGGGCAGGTTGTCCAGTTTATCACAGGGTAAGGCTGACATATAGCATCAACCATTCACACTCACATATACAGTTTAGTCTTCAGTTAACATTCTGCATGTCTTTGGTCTGTGGGAGGAAGCCAGAGTACCCAGAGAAAATGCACGCAGACACAGGGAGGACGTGCAAACTCCATATAGGAAGACCCCAGCCACCTCCTCTTCCTCTCACTGTTCAGATATCAAGCTCAAATATCCCAAATACAAACGCTGCTATTTTGCACTTTTGGAGCCAGAGTCTGTGCAGTAAGGATTGGGTAATGGAGCAATGGTAGCGAGGTCCCGCCTGATTAAAACAAAAATGACCACTTGAACAAAAATTAATGTGATAAGACTACCAAACAACAAGAAAAATGTATTTAATCTGTATTTAAATTTCTAGTTTGAAGGAGGGGGGATTTATGGCCTATACTGCAGCCAGCCACCAGGTGGTGATCAAGATG